CCCGTCTGTGCTCTTGCACTCGGTAAAATGTTGTGGATCTGCAAGGTGAGGGAGCTCGCTCCGAGGAACTTATGCTGCAGCACAGGAAGCCACCAGGATGTGTACTTCACCTACTATTCTTCTTCAACCTTGCTTACTATATATAGATCATGGAGATTATTACTTCTTCATGTGCTTTACACTTACATACTTGAATACTGCGTCATCGGTGACCGACAAAGTCGGAAAAGATTGCCTTCAAATTTAAAACCAAAAAATAATAACTAATTATAATGGCGGCGCGTTGCCAAAGAGTGGTGTGTCCCATTCAACGAATACAGATGAAAGGAGCATGTTTTATCTATGGTCATAGAAACATACTCCTCAAGAGGTCTGCGCACCAAATAGTCCCTCAGTTTTGTCTTTAAAAGCCTTCACGTCCAGCTCGCGCACTTTAGATGGAAGTGTTTTATAGATCATTCTGGTATAGTAAGGGTTTGGGTCCAGGCAAGACGGCATCTAGGCAGGTCAAGGAGATGGGCATTTCGTGTCTGGTATGAGTGTTGGCCCTCACGTCCACTGTCGAGTAAAGTTTCGCTGAGTTTTCCTTGAGTATAATACCATACTATTGAGGATGTATGACTGTAGACAGTCAGAATCTTTAGATCCCTAAAGAGAGGCCTACAGTAGTCATGGTACCCGGTGGACGTAATCACCCTCAGAACCATCTCCTGAAGGAGCAAGAATTGTCATATGCTGCAGCTGTATGACCCCAGAGTGGGATGCCATAGCTTACGTGGCTTTGAAAAAGAGCATGGTATATACAGTCATCAAGGTTTAGATATTCAGTTTCCTCAGATCCCTGCCTCTGCTGGTGTCGTCTGCAAACAGCAATGTTTTATTGTTTAAGACCAGATCATTTATAACGATAGTGAAGAGGAGGGGGCCAAGAACCGATCCTTGGGGAACTCCATGTCTCAAAAGCTTCACCCCAGAATTAAGTCGCACCGCCGAGAGACACAACTTGCTTTCTACCTTCTAGATAGGAGATGATAGTTTGCAGAATTGCAGGACCACGCCAGGAGAAAAGTTTAATTCAATAATAAATTTAAAAATGTATATTGTAAATTATTTTCAATCAATCAAACAATTGTAGAAGTATCAGTTACAGCAGTTGGTTGTGTACAGTAGATTGCTGAGTGTAAACAGTTTTGTGCTGCTTCTTGCATTCAGTAAGTTCAATCCCATGTAGCACAGATGGTTGGGCCAACGTTGGCCAACTGTGGGACAGTTGGTCGATGGTTGGTTGGAGCTTCCACAACCAACCAACCGTTGTCCAACTGTATATCTCGTAGTTGGGCCAACCAATATTTACAACTGTGGACCAACATTGGTTCATTGTTAATGAAATACATTAATATGCATTGCTGGGTATCATACATCAAGCCAACCGTTGTCCAACCGTTTTTCACTCCGTTGGACCAACAAAAGTATGGACCAACAATGGTCCATAGTTGAGTTTACACGACTTTCATTCTCTGGGTCTAGCTTTCACAACATAATTATAATAAAATATCTGGTTTTATAATACCTTTATCAGTTCCAAAAGTTTCCAAAAGTTTTTGGAACTGATAAAGGTATTGTAAAACCAGATATTTTATATATTACAGTTCCGGCGCTACAACAATAAATTTTAATAATTTTAATAATGCAAATATTTTTTAAATTAATATTCTTTAACTTATTTGCAACAATTTAAGGGGAAAGAGTAATTAATCATATAACAGGCAATTATAATAGCATTAACAATCTAACGGTAATTAATTAATCATTCAAATACCAGTATCCTCTCTAACTCCAAAAAAAAATTATGATGCTTTAACAGAATCATATTATACTGTGTAGTATCAAAAATGTTTGAAGTATTGCGACCATTGCAACTGTCGGCTACTCTTTCACCACTTGAAAACTCTCTATATCAGCAATCACAGATAGCTCAGTGGTAAAGTAAGAGGCTCATAAGTCGAAGGACCCGGGTTCGAGACCCGTCTGGGCCAAAAAAATTTTGTTCTAGTTTTTTTCAAAATTTGTTTTTATGAACTATTTAATCAATTTACTCAACTAATAATTATGATTTTCGTACTAAATCTTTATTATTTTGTGTGAAATAAAACGGTTGGACAATGGTTGGCTAGAAAACAGTTTAAAGAGGTGACATTTCTACCGTTGGCCAACTGTGTGGCTCCACAATTTACCAACGTTGGCCCAACCATCTGTGCTACATGGGATACCCAACAAATTGCTGATCATGGCCTTACCCTATCTCTTTGCAGCCAAATTGAAAAACACCTTCGGTGGTAGACCTTTACCAATCACTCACACTTCCCTAGGAACCAGCGCCGGATGGCCAAGGTAAGGCCGTTATCCCTCTTACTTTTAAACTTGATATTTTTGGACTTAGAGCACAGATAGTTTTGAAATACTAATAAAGACACTTAATACTTTTTCATATTATAAATTCATACATTTTGTTACATAGATTTATTTAGTGAAATGTATAATTAAACTTAAAAGTTCAACAAGGCCAATATATATAATACATTATTTTAATCCACAAGCGCTTTCAGAAACTAACTATGTTTCCATCGTCAGGCTGTGTTTAAAAACTACAGTAGTTTAACAAATTTAAATTAATTTACTCGATTAATTGTATCTTCACAGACTCTACTCTATGACTTTAGAGAGGGCAGGCAGTATGACAAAAATAGGCCTGTAGTTGGACAGCACTGCTGTCCAGATACAGCAGAGTTAACAGCAGATAAGCAGTCTGCTGTGACACAGCAGACTCATACTGCTCATACTATGAGCACTGCAGGCTGCAGTGGCGTAACTCATACTGCTAACACAGTACTCACAGTGACACAGTGTCACAGCAGTATGATGTGTCACTTTTCCTGAATACTGGGATGCCCCGAGCAGTCTTGAGCGCGTCAGAGAAGCATCCGTTTCTCTGACAGGTTTACGTTAGTCAGTCGTGAGTGGGTCCACGATGGTGTGGATGACAGCCTTCAAAACAGAGCAGAAGACACCAAAAACATACTGGCTATTTGAGCTATTTAACTATCTAGCTTAATAATAAAGCTAGGGCTCACCTTATATTCTAATGATTTAGGCTGCAGAATGATGAGACATCCAGGAAAGAGGCCGCCGGAACTAGTTTTTCTAGTGGGGCCTTGTATGCCACAACTTTGTCAGCTATTCCTGAGAAAAAGTTGTTAAAATCATCAGGGGAATCCTCTGTTACGGTATAAGGTCTAGGAGACCTGTGAGAATTAACATGCTGCTTTACAGGTGTTGGATGCCTCTTTTATCTTTAACTTTAACACATTGAAGCCTATTTTGCTTTGTTTACTTTACAACGATGGAGTCTTTTGGTTTGAAAATATAAAGCATGGAGTCTTTCTTTCCGTTCGGGGACAGTGCACGTCTTATAAAAATCAGATATAAAAATCGTGAAGAATGCATATGTAAGGGCGTAGTTTGCCAGTTCCTGGGCGTAGGTACCAGGATTTGTCAGTTTGTTACTAGAACGCGGGCTTTGGCCTACATGACTTTGAGATAATGATAATGCTCTACTACTTTCCTGTCGAAAGGTAGGGACTTGGAACAGCTCAAGGCGGTAACTGTCAGAATCTATGCTAGAATCTATATCTAAAGACTATAGTTTTCTCTTGCAAACAGGCTTTAATCGAATGAGAGTAAGATGGAAGGCCCATACAGCTTCATCTTCGGTTTTGAAAGTCCAGACTCACTGTGAAAGTGAAATTATGGAAATTATTGGATTTCTTGTAAGATCCGAAATTGACATGGGCCGAGCAAGTCCTTGACCAACCTTTATTGAGTTTGACTGTTGGGTTCGGTTTCCTACCAAGTAAACGCTACAGTACTGACTTTAATTAGGATCAAATCAATCTTCTTCTGATAACAAAAAGTAATTTGAGTACGTTCGCAGGAACACATGTAAAATAAATTATTATACATGAAAAATGGTCATATGAAATCACTTTGTCGTAGATATAACTTCCTCTTTGTTACTGTCAACTGTCGAACTGTCTCCCCAAAACTAGGCCTAGATAGTGATGGGAGAATCGAATACTTTAAAGAATCGAATACAGTGAATTCGTAGCCTCCCCTGTATTCGAATACTTTTACGAATACTTGTATTCGAACACCTTTGAGTATGCAAAGCATGGAAAATGAGTGTGTAATTCTTTTTTCATAATGCAACCGTTCTTTTGGCCACTGTTATTTCGTTTTACAGTAATTAATTCATTAATATAATTTATTCAATGTAATTTTAAATTATATGATTTTTAAAAGGTACATTTATTTTGACTTATACTTATTTCATGGTCAGTTACAGTCTTATTAATGTATTATTTTCTATTATATTAACTAATTAATATCTTTAATAATATGTCTCATTCATTTGTATGGATAATTTACATCAGATATGCATGTTATTTTGCCATGGAACTATATAAATCGGTTGTAGTTATAATAAATTCTATTCAAAAGCCCTCTACCAGTAGTAACCTAATATTTTAAATATTCTATATAATTTATTAATTAATTTTATTAATCCTTAACATTTAGAATATTATTCTAAATGTTAAGGATTAATAATAATCGTATGTAAATTATAGGGCTAATGGTAAAATTATAACGAATAGATGAAAACAAATGCTGCAGTCAAAAAAATTAAATATGTACTCTTGCGAATGCTACGGATTCGTAAGATATTCAAAAGGGAATTCAGTAGTTGAAAAAGTGTTGAATACATTTTTGAATCCCCCGAATTCGCTTTCTAGATTCAAGAAATCCTGCAAAATCTGAGGCCAAGAGTATTCACAAAAAAGTATTCGTACGAATCTGAAGTATTCGAATCTACGAATACTCGGGCTGTATTCGAATACTATTCGATTCTGTATTCGATTCTCCCATCACTAGGCCTAGATCAGTGATCCAGGTCCCAGGATCTGTCTCCCGTCTGTGTTCGGTCGTGCATATTTCGTGTGTTTTATTTAGTTTTGTTCTGTGTTTTGAGATTCTTAACATCAGAATTTCGGTAGTTTAATAGCTATGGTATCTACATTGAATGTGGAATATGTGAAATCGTGGCGTCAATAGAGAAATGTTAAGTGTTTTATGTGCAGTGACAGAATTCCCGGAACATGAAGTTTTCTGAGTGGTAGTGTTTGTGTGATTGGGCCATAGGCCTGATATTATTTTGAGTGAGTTCGTTAAAAGTCAGAGGATAAACATGGCAGATTTAGAAGCCGTATTAGCTGATGTCAGCTATTTAATGGCAATGGAAAAGTCGAAATGTACTCCAGCAGCAAGGGCCAGTAAGAAAATAGTCCTACCAGACCCTAGGTAGGCTTACCTCAAATTTGTACCTATTACTCATTTTAATGTGTGTCATAGTAGACCTAACTTATCCCATAGGCCTACATACCTTTTTAGTTAGGTACGGTATTGCCTTCAAATTTACATATGTCTACTGCCAAGGGTGGAAGTTTGAGGGATGGGCTATCAGATTTAGGCCGCCTACCTATTTACATTTAACTTAGGCCTATTAAGGATGCTGGAGACCAAAATATACTGCTGGGGGGTTTTAAGAATCAAGAAGGGTACAGTTTCTTAACTGGGCTGAGATGCTAATATTGATTGAAACTAAGTTATCGATTCGATTGGTAAACCTTCATGCGATTTTTTCACCATCAGCAAGTTTGGTTGATTAGGTTAGGTTATGCTAGTTTTATTTTATAATAGATATACCCATTTAAAAATATCGATTATTAATCAATATTTTCAATTCGATAGTTTCAATCAATATTTAGCATACATTAACTTAGCCCAGTTAAGAAACTGTAGGCCTACCCATTGAGAGTACGGTATGCTTAATTTTTTAATTTTGTATTAGGCCTAGATCCGTGACAAGGACTATTACTACTACATATTGTTTCTGCCTAGAATGGAAAACTCACTGGTTACTGTTTGCTTAGATCTTGTTAGTGTTTGTGATCGCATTGTAAATTAATTTATTGTTCTGTTTTTGTTCTTGTTTAAATGTTTAAATTCTTGAAATAAATAAATGAAATGAAATTAAAGGACTAAATGGTAAATAGGCCTAAGTTAAATATATCAGATCACAGCTCTGCCTTAATTTAGGCTTAATAAAACCATTCTTGATGTTGCATTTAATTTAAACAATGTAGGCCTATCACCTCAAGTACCGGTAACATAAAAAAATAGTCTAATGAAAAAATTGGGTATTTATTGCGAGGAATGTGACCATGGGAACCTATTATAGATTTATATATAGCCTATCACTAGAAACTAGATTTTTAGCTAAAAATAATGGTGCAAAAATTTTTCCGCGCTCTCAAATATTAACGGAGTTACGGCTAAGTTTTATTTACCGGTACTATGTTTTTTGACCTAACCTATTTATAAGCCTATGAAATGTTCTCTCCAGATACTTTATATATTACGTTAATTATTGTAATTAATTAAAGTAGAAGACTCCCTTTAAAAACCAGGAAATAACAGTGCAAAAATGTCTCAGAGGCCACAAATATTAACTAAGGTAATTTAAGATAATTTGTCGTTTTGATTTCTTTTATCTACCTTCTATTCTAGTCTGCTACTGCTTGCCGCATTACGGAATTACGGAACGGAATAACTGTTACTTGTAGAACTAGACTGAACCTGAAATGAAAATGAAAATACGAAATTGAAGAGAAGAGAATAAAAATAAGTCAATCAAGTCATTTAAAGTACATTTTTGTGCTACAAACATCTAAGAAACAACACGGCACTGAATAACTTATTTCAGAATGGTTTTATTTAGGCATGTGTGGAAGGCAAGTCGGCCTTATGCGGATTCGTTACTGTATCAAGTGTTTTAAAGTTAGGTTAAATTAGGAAGGTAAAGTGTAAATTAGGTTATAGTGAACTGAGTTGATAATTTATATTACGCACAGGCAGTTGTTGTGCAATTAAAATAGTGTGTTTAAACACAATGAAATCGTTATTTCATTTTCATTTGCACACTATTTTAATTACATTTCTTAAGTCATCCCTTCCATACAATAAGTTAATAGGCCTAATAAAAAAATTATATTGAAATGAAAGCGTTTTAAACTACCGATACCCTAACATTTAACTAACCAAACTTGCTGTAACATTTAAAAAAATCCCCACTTGCCTTTTCTGTTATGAAATGGAATTTTAAAATTCTACAGCAAGTTTTGTTAGTCCGTCCGTTTGTTTGGCTATGATACCCAGCAGATTAGGAACCTTCTCAGAACTGAATTCACCCTCTCGACCCGCTCGTCGGGCTGGCCGGAGACAAACAATGACTCACCCACTGGCACAGTCCCACAAATCTGTAACTTTTTTTCTTTTAGGCTAAGTTAAAATAAATTGTTCTTTATAAATTTGAATTCTACATGAAATTCCAAAAATAATGAGCCCAAACACTATGTGCATACTTACGATCTGAAAGTATTACAATTACTCTGTATCGTCACCAGCTTGTCAAACTTTCAGATCGTAGATATTAAGTAGGCCTATCCACATCGTGTTTGGACTCATTATTTTTGGAATTTAATGTAGAACTCAAAATATATACGAATAGGCCTACCTAATAATTTATTTTAACTTAAAATTAAATAGTTAGGTATCTGTGGGGCTGGGACAGAAGTAAGGTAGGTCTAGGCCTAAACTTTTTATCAATGGTCAGCCTGGCGAGCGGGTCTGAAGGGTGAACGTCGAGTTCCGAGAAGGTTCCTAATCCGCTGGGTCTCATAGCCAAACAAACGGACTATAGTATGTTAGCTTAGAACAGTTTCATTTCTTAATCCAGAAGTTACTGTAGGCCTATACAGGCCTATTTGAGCCTAAACAAGATCAGTTGTCAATTTGTAACCAGATATTATTTAGAAGGAATATGGATCGTAAAGGAAAACTAAAATATCGACAATAATGAATGTTCCCAGGACAGGAAAGTAGGCTACCACTTTGCTTTAGCCAAGACCATTTATTAAAAGCCCAATTATTAGAAAAGCTGCGTTAAGTTTTGATCCACCACAAACCTACAGAGTTTTCTGGGGATCAAGTTATTATCCGGTGAATGGTGAACGGTGACTGGTGACCTATTATCAATAGGCAAGCACTAAGAACCAACCAATCATTGAGTCAGCTTTATTAAATCGCATGTGATTGCTTTCAAACTTGTGTTGCTTTAAATCAATCATTGTCTCTTCTTGCTTACCTATTAAAGCAAAAGACCAAAGAAATAACAAAGGCTTTGTGATTCTTATTCTGTCTTATATTAAGTCAAGTTTTACTTTAGGCTATTCAAACGTTTAGCTCACTAAAAATTTATTGCCTATTCAGGCCTACTTATTTGTTTGGTTTAGAATTATTTGAGCATATACTCCTCTCCAGTTCCATATGGTTAAGATGGGGTTCCTACCCAATTGTGTTAGGCCTACCTAGATACGTCCAATGTATGCTGAAGTCTCCAAATGAACATGAGAGTGGTTTTTGTCTGATTAGTATGCTAATTGGACTAATATTGTTTCCAATTCTTTGTTTCAGTGTTCGGAGTGTGATGCACAAGTACCTTGAAAAGAAAAACGAAGTGAATTTTGATAAAATATTCAACCAAGTCTTAGGTGAGTTAAAATTATTCTGTTCATTTACAAATAGTTCATAGTAATGATAGGTCATAATACTTGTCATAATAATATAGTAAATATAGGCCTAGGTCATATATACTTCAACTTATTTTGGTAGACCTACTAGTTGACTACATAAGCTATATTTGCAATAAAAACTTGTAAATATTATGAAACCATTTTGATTAACCAATAGGCCTATAATATTAATTTAATATATATAATTAATATATTATATATTAATATTTAATATATTATTAATTTTGTACGGTATATTAATTTATCTGAAACAAGTCAAAACTTCAATCCAAACTATTTAAGAGAACAAATGGATAACCAACCCATATTTAATTAAATTTGTTTATGATCTGTGCTACTAACTCACAATAATAAATTAAATCTAGAGATAGAACACTACCTTTAGAGAACATCTGGATAGTGAAAGTGGAATATTAAAAGCATCTCCAAGTAAATAGAAACAGAAATAGTATTTCGGTTGTACATTATTAGCTCCCTAGATGCCAAAACTGGCATTAGGAGTAAATCCAGCAATATCTGCGTTATTGACAGGTCTGTTTATTAAGATCTAATTAAGACCAATAATAGGCTCGGACAGTACCTGTAAACTTATGGTTAAAATTATTTTTTTTATTATAAATCAAAAGTATCTCTAGATATTCCTAATAAGGTAATTCTGAATTGACTTATTAAGGTTGTTTGGTCGAAAATAAGATTTCAGATTTTTGTTATTGTTCAATTATACAAAAAATTAGAGACACAGATATATAATATATATTTATTTTTAGGTGTGTTGAATATTAAGGGAGATATAGAGCTTGAAAGTAGTAAATTTGTAATATTTATAATATTTTATAATATTTATAAGGGTTTTGTGATTCTCACCAAAATTGGCGTTCAGGCGTGAAAAAAATAAGATAATAATCACTAGCTATTTAAAATAAATTTTTTTTAACCTTTTAAAATTTATTTTTATTTTTATAACATTTAAAAAATATTTATCATTTTTTAATAGTTTAAAAAATAGCTGTTTGTCTTTGGGTTGAATTCATCTATATGTAGGATTTTTTTAGATGCAATATATTTACTCGTTTGGGCTGTGAATTCGTGACACCTTAGATGCCTTGCGCTGGCAGCGCATTACTCGTTGGGAGTGTGTACACTCTCGCCGCGGAGCTATAAAATACATTAACACTATATGTAATTATTAACATCATGTAACATTAAGAGAATAAATGTATAGTTGTATTCCCGGCGTGAGTATACACACTCCCAACGAGTAGTGCGCTGCCAGCGCAAGGCATCAGGTACGAATTCACAGCCCAAACGAGTAAACATATCGGATTTACAAAAATCCTACATATAGATGAATTTTACCCAAAGACAAACAGCTGTTTTTAAAATTAATAATTTTTTTATTTTATTTTATAAAAAAAACAAAACTTACAAAATTTTAATTTTAAATAGTAAGTGATTATTATCTTATTATTTCACACCTGAACGCCAATTTTGGTGAGAGTCGCATTACCCATACCACCCCCTGTGAATTGGTACTAAAATATGACAAATTTACTAGCCTACTTTCAAGCTCCATATCTCCCTTAATATTCAACATAAAAAAATGTTTCTTATATTTTGTGTCTCTAATTTTTTGTATAATTGAACATTTGAACAATAACAAAAAATCCGAGATATTAAGGTTACCAAACACCCTTAACCATTCTCATGTGTAAAAAGCTTTTTGTGAGTCATGTGAATATCAACACTGTGGAAGTATTGGAGGAATTGGCTTCCTTTACTTGTATTCCAAGTTTACCATTTAAACAACATAATGATGCCCTCGGAGGCTAATTGATGAAATTTGGGGTACATGTTTTAACGCTTCTAGCAATTTTGTGAACCAGCACGATCGGTCTATGGAAATGGGGAGTTTTATGTTAAAAATGGGGGTTTTCCATTTTTCATCCTCAGTAGGGCCTACATATATAAGAAAGTTAGCCTACTGTAAAGTATACCAGTGTAGTATTTTTAAACATGCATTAGTGCCATTTCAACACCATTTAAACTCCTTACCTAAATTTAAAACACCGCCGTTGCAGCAAACTTGCGGACTAAGCGAATTTCCATTACCTGGCTATATTTCCACTAAAATATTCCCTTAAAATTTTCAGATAAATTTCCTATTTAAATAACACTAGGTGAAACACGTCGAAATTGACGGTTTACTTTCAAGGCTTATGCTAATAATTCATCTAACTGCAATATATAGAATGAAATCATCAAGATTTTGAACGTTTTGCTCTGTTTAATGAGTAATAAATAAATGTAAAAACAATGATGACTATTATTAACGGACAGACACATACACACATAAAGGCCTTAGTAAATAAGGATTTGAAAGGATATTCCCTATGAAAAATTCACTAAAAATATCAAACTAAGCGGTAAGATTGTTTTATTCTAAAATAAATTAATGTAGCCTATGTGTAATTATTTCATGCAGTGGGTTTAAAGAACCACATTATTCTGTTCAGTGTCCTCTTCCTGTTGTGAAGCATGAGTAGCAGCTAGTAGGGATGGATCTGATAATTTTAGGAAATATCCATTAGGTGTATTGATGATTAAAGCTCTGCTAATAATTAGAACTAGTGGCCTGTAGGGGCCATAGCCCCTAATTTAGACTAAAATAAAAACCATATATAAAAAGACAATTATTCGAAATATGTTTTTAAAATTATCGATTTTATGTTACTTAATTAACAGTGTTTCTTGTTTTATATCTTGGGTTTCCTTCCGTTGGAGTCGTATATTAGTTGCTTCTGATGTGTCAATGAAATACAATTGTAAAATAATGATTAAATCAATAACACAACATATTAACAAAAGGAAACGTACACGGTTTGGCCTGAGCCCGGAGAACGACGAATCTGAGCTGAAATCATACAGCCAAACATTGCACATCTTTTCTAGTTTAAAACTGAAGATTTGTTTTGTAATCTTACGATTTCTGTTATATTTTCCATTTTGAGAACAAATGAACAGGTTAAAATTATTATTATTATGAAGGAAACTCTCCATATCGCGGTAGTTAACCAGAAGAAATATATCTATGAATTTGTCCCTGAATTCTAAGACATTAAGGCCCATTTTCCGGAATCTCTTTTTGTGTAGCGGAAAGCGATGCAAAAGCCATTGCACTGTTGTATAGCCTTATGTTTTTTTATGAAGTTCGAATCATGTAAAAACAGTTATTTTAGTTCGTCATTTACTTGTGGTTGTGGCATGTCCATTGTGGAAACATGCGTTGAAATGTCCATTTGTGGCCTCCTCTGCGAAGTGAACTGCGCCACAATGCATGCAAGTGCTTTAAGAGGACCTAGATTGTGAGAAACAACACTCAACTCATTTTCCAGCGTTCTTCTAACACAGGTTGTAAAACAGCTTCTGGATTTCTTTCACAGTTAGGCCCTGCATGACGTTCTCTTTTGCATTTCTTAAATCTGTTGAAATCCTGGACACTCTTCCACGTCTTGCAGGTCTTCCCCTACCCTGTCTAGTTACTTCACTCATTATAAAAACGGAAAACAAAAAAATAAACACAATTCATTTTAAAACATTATTTACCAACATTGACTTTCGGAATAAATGTAAACATTGCAAATAAATAAGTAACAGCTGATAGAATGCAGACGTTTTTCAGTCCCCATGAATTTCTTATGGTGGATATTTTACGTTATATCTCGTTTTCTGGTATGTTTATGGGAATTCTGCTATTTTTCCCGAGTCCCTGGGGTCAATACCTTTAATTTAAGACCCCTCCCAATTTTCTGCGACTTACCAGACGTCCACAATTTTCTGGTAAAAATTTGGTCTTACAGAATTATATATATAGATAGGGTTCATCAGTTTTTGCCTACAATTATTTAGATTTTCACAAGTTATAGTATTTTGAAATTTTACTGATACAAAAAATAATTGTCATTAGAGACAATTTTGGAAATCACCGTTAAAAGTACTGCTGCCAAACAAGCCCTACACATTAGGCTGGCTATTCCCAAAAGTCATGAATCTAATTGAATTTTTTCGGTTGAAATGAGACGATGACAAATGAGTGGCGCTGAAGGAAGGCAGTTTCTCAAGATAATAGCTCCGTCATCGCGCCAAACATGGAAACCTGCCCCAACAAACCAGACGGCAGTGACAGACGCGGGTCTGTGTGATAAAATGTATTTGAGAGTTTGATAAGCTGCTGAAAATTAGGTGATTTTAAGATCTTTTTTTGTTGGTGAAACAATTTAAATTTTTAAATCAGAGATATTTTTAATTTGGTATGAAAAAACAGTATCAGTAAACTAACACATACATTCTCCCCTTGGTTTGACATTAAATTTTGAAATCCTTTAATAAGAAAAAAGTTATAATGGGTAAATAAACGGATAGAGTAACTACCCTATGCATTTTTATGGAGAAAATCACAAGTAGTTGCAATCACTTTTGAACTGTAGGTAATCTTAGCCTTGAAGGTTATGTGATTTTTTAGAGTTGAAGACAAAAACATACCACTATATTTTAAACAAAATCGTTTTGTAGTTATGATTTTTCTGTTATTTCATAATAGGCCTAGTATAAAAACTATCCGTTTTTGAAAACTAGAATGATTGCCTTTCAATAATGTAATTAATGTCCAGCCGCAGCTAATTTTTATATGGTCTAATGCCTCTTATTGATCTTATTACTATCAAAGTTCTGTAGTTCATTTTGTTTAAGCTCATAGTACTGGGTGGTCCATAATAACAGCTAAAATTTAAAATAGGGTTTTATCTGTTGTTAATTCAGTTAGACAGCTGATTTTTGCAACAGTTAAAATCCCAGCAGATAGCATTTTGGTTTAAATGGAGCAGTGGACTGTTCAACGCCGGGCTTTCACTGTCGAAGCTTTTTTTTAAATACCGGTAACTGAGTCCATGATTACTACTACGCAATAGCTATTTAGCAATAACTCACACATTCATCTCAATGATGAGGTTCCTCATGCAATAACTATTAATGGTTTAGCTATGTAAATATTTCTTTGAGTTTTATTCAAAACTGTAATTGTTGTTTTACACAGCGTACTTTTTTTTATTAGCAAATTTCCCATATAGGGAATAAGCTATTACCGTAGTACTCGTGGTAAGACCTGGAACCAGGACCGATGTAATTTTTTGTTTTGAGGTCCCTAGAGGCCAAAAACACCATCCGTCAAATTCATATATATATATATGTGTGTGTCCGTTAGCGCGATAACTCAAACAAAAATGATCCGGTTTTGATGAAATTTGGTGCAAACGTGTAAACCTACGTTTATTTGAATGAGTTCGCGAACCACCATAATCGGACCATGGGAAGACCTGGGGTTTATGGGGGGTTTTATGGGGTACAAATGGGGTTTTCCCATTTTTGACCCTAAAAACAAAAAAATTTGCAATTTCTTTTTAAACCGTTTTGTAGAGCTTAAAAAAGAAATAATTTTGTAAATTGAAGCGCTGTTGTATGTCTAACGGTCACGGAGAAAAATCAAAAATAGTGTAATTTAAAATTCCCATGTTATTCTTATGGAGAAAATGAAAACTGTTGTAGTTTACTTGTTTATGGTTATATATTGATAAATTTGGAATTTTTTTTTCATCCTATAGCCTACTATTGATGTAGGGACAAAAAACACTTTTTACCTTCCCCGTAGCAGCAAACCTAAGCACTAGTTTAATCTAATCTTATTTAAATTAGAAATATAGGCCTATGTCTTATTTATGTAAATATTTTAAATAGGCTATGTAATCAGACAAGTTGAAATTTGCTTAGTCTGCAGGTTTGCTGCGGCGGGGGTACTATTACTTTACACCTACAAAACAAACATTGCATAGATGTCACACATTTTTTTTCTAAAAAAGTTGAATAGTTTGAACAATTGAATTAATAATTACAAAAAATGCTATTAATAATTAATAACATTTTATAGTTCCTTAATTATTAAGGAACCATTCAATGCAAAAATCATCTCTCTAACCAATGAATTAGCTGAGCTGTCACAAAACAAATTGTTAGCAGTTCTTTTGGACCACCCGGTATGCACATTTAATCAAAAATAAGAGCATTCACAACTATTCAAAGCCCAACATTCTAAGCTATTCTTTCAGTTTTATATGAAAAAAATTGGTGTATTAGAAGGAAAACATTTTATAATCATACATCCTGTTTCTGGTGCTTAGTCTAGTTTTTTTACAGAGGTTACATAGCCACTTGTGCTCATCATTCATCCAAGAGAGTAAGTAGCCATGCGTCAAGTCTTTCCAGATTCATCTTTTCTTATAAGTTTATTTTAATTTAAAAGCATTGAGTATATCGATAGGTACCTATACAATTTTTTTTATGCTTATACATGAAACCTATTGTTAGTTTAAAATTAAAATTTTTTAACCAATAAATAGAATTTAAATATAAATATAAACGAGGTGATAGCCCGTCCTACGTACGGGAGTAGTCAGTTAAAACTGTGTATAATTCAGAACAGCTAGCTTACACGTATACAGACAAATTTTATTGCAGCCTACAGTAGAAAGAGTATTTATCAATTGAGAAGTGTATAGGCCTAGTCAACGATATCACCTTCCAATTCCATCGCATACCTGCCTCTTCCATAATCAATATCACCACAATACAATTACTCATACTAGACACAATTTCCAGTAGGTAGGTCTGAATTGAAACTCCCTAAAATAAAACTAAAATATCAAATAAAATTCACATTACACATAATTATAACGTTGGTGTCCTGACATCATTAAACGAATCGTCCACACACATCCTTTATGTCGATTTCACTGCATCAATTAATTGCTAAATAAATCAGAAAAGTAAACACAACAACATATTAGTTTGTTTTGTAAACATCTGATTCAAAAATAAAATAATATTCATTTGAACAAAAGAACTGGTCACATTTTGAAGGAATCTAAAAAGGAAAAAAAGCTAGTTTTAAAGCTAATGACGTAATTAATTGCCTATTGATAATCAAACCACCCTCATTGAATCAATGTACATCGTAATTCCCCATATTCATTTATTTCAACTATACAATATTCAGCGCCTACAAACGTAACCACAACGGGTCTGTATTTTTATGAATAGGCTTATTTAAATTGTAATTCTAATTCTAATATTTGGTAATTCTAACATATTGGTAATTCTTGAAATCTTGAATCTTAAAAAAAAACTTGACGAATCTTGAATCTAATTACTTGGGCCTATAAATCCAAATATACTTTGTAAAAGGTTATACTATGATATAAGAAGTGCGTGGAACACATTTGATTATAGTATTCACTATTCATAAGTAGTTGATTTTAGACCTTCCCATGTACGTTTTATATCTGGATTGTAAACTGCAGAAAACAATATTTTAATCCAGAGATAGTAGTACAGTAGCTGGCAAGGACTGGACTTTGTTGATCTGTTTCATACTGGTCAACTTAGGTAGCTGAAACTGCCTAGTGAAAATTCAAGTGGGGACAGGTCCTGGATAAGTCATATGACTATTGTGCCTTGAAGTAGAAAATTGCCCTTCAGTGCATTAGGATTGCCAGATCTACAACACCAATGAAGCAGCTGGCAGCGCAAACTTGGGTGTAAAACCTTTTGGTTTATGACGACAGAACAAATGTGTTTAGTTTGTTCATCTGATCTAACTAGTTTGTGTAGACCTGTGTAGGAGGTTTAATACTGTAATTGTATACTGAAACAGACTAGTGATATCTTAAATTACATTGTTGGTAACTGGTAGGCATACCTTATGCTTAACGCTAATGAGTGCATAAAAAATTACCTAAAACTCTTTTAACCAACACGCATTTTAAAAGAGTGACTATACTAACGAACTTTTAATAGCTTTACAGCAATAAAGTTTAATAGAAGGTTCCATTCTATCATTTACAAGTACACTTGGTATATTGCTTGGATGAAAGTAAAGATTTTTTGTTTTTATTTCCCTACAGTACAAACAACCTTCTCACCATCCCCTATTTTTCTAAACACGTCCCAGAATCTTTCAATTCTTTTGTTGAAATTTGATAGAAATTAAGTATTGACGATTAGGTCAGCAGTGATGGTAGTGACTGTTACTTATGTCATACGATGATCAATCGACATTTAGACCATCATTCAACGTCGGTCAACTATTGAGGTCATAAGCAAACAAACCGATTGTCCCTGACAACGATTTGGCCCCACTTACACTTGCACTACATTCAGACAGCAAAGTACATCGTACACTTTGCAAATGTTTAGTGTGAGTCATAAATGCAGCTAAATGTAGTCAGTAACTTAGTTCATCGACACAAATACCCCTGCCGCAGCAATCCTAAAGACCAAGCGAATTTCCATTAGCATGATTGAATGTTAAATCTCTTTCTCTTTTCAAATCCAAAATTCATAGCTGGCTTGTAGCAAATCCTTTCTATTCAGTCAAAGACTTTTTGAAACATAAAATTACAATGGAATGATTCACACTGTAAGTTAGGAATATTCAATCTTTGTTAGCTATAGATATAACATACTTGTTGATGTTGATATTCTGTTTAATGTAATTTGACAATGCCTATTCCTGTTTACAACCTGGTCAATGGCAATAAACTTTCTTATTCTTATTCTTATTCTTAAACTAAGTATCTCCTGAAACATACTACAAACAAAAACAAACTACAACAGTTTAATTATTCTCCATAAAAATAACATTCGGATTTTAAATTGAAATTTTTTTTGAATTTTCTACAAAACCGTATATTTAAGTGTTCAGTGTTAGTGTTAGTGTTTAGTATACAAATTCTGATTTTTAAGACATAACATTTTATTGTAGGTCTAAATGCTATGTAAATGTGTTTAGATACTATAAAGTTTATTCTTAAAATGTTGGTTTTTATGAATAACATTACTTTAGATCCAGTTTTAACCATTATTTTGATTTCAGGAGAAAATTTTACCTAGATTTCATACTCCACAACCTTGTTTAAGAAATTTCTGACATTGTTACGTTACAGGCAGGAGGAGACTTGCGTTTTGTAGCATCACAGGAGGGAAGGGTTGGGTTAAAAAATTACAAAAATCCAATAAAATTATGTAACATATGAACGGCTTATTAACTTCTTGCACTGATTATGGTAACTGTTCTTTTGATACCTTGTTTTTTTTCAGGTTACCTCCTTTTTAAAGACTTCTGTGAAAACGTGTCAGAGGAGCCAGTACCTCAGCTTAGGTTCTACGAACAAGTAAGCAACTCAAACAGTCTTTTTGTTGTATAGTTTTATAGGCTAATCAAAACTTAGTTACGGTACTAAAAATATCTATGCTGTGCCAGATCTCATACAATTCCGACATCGTTCACCAGTGTAAAAATGATAATAAACAAAACTAAAAGAATTGTCGTCATAATTCAGCAAAAACGGCTGTTCTCATTACATGTGTTGTGAAAATAAAGTAGCCCTTGAATAAAAATCAGATGTATCGAAAGTTGGCATTGATTGTTTTTTAATTGGCTCTAGCTCATTCCTACATTCTTTTTGACTGGATTCTAATTCGTTCACTTTGAATCTTAAAAGATGGATGAGACGGGGAACAAGGTTATCTCACTTACAGCGTATCAAATCCTAGAAATTTTACAAGAAACTGTAAGAGAATAGCTTTCAGACAAAACTCCCACACAGCCATCTACTGGGACGGGTGGCGTCGTCCTGTAATCCAGCTACTTGGAGGTCACGAATTGTGGATATTTATAGGCATGCACTGTGGATGCGATACTCCCTGGTGTGGATTAACGTCCGCACGGGTGAGTACTACGACTATCCGCAGCATCCTGATAATTAGACCAATTCGTATATACCAAGGAAAAATGTGGTTCGGATTCCACTATAAACTGTAGGTCCCTTAGTTGCCATTAGCTGTATGGGCTAAAATTAACAGCTGTGTCTAAGGAATACGTCGGCCTTAGTCACTAACAAGACTACAAGATCGCGCCACTCATCATACACTCATCTCCATTCAAACTTGGCTTAAAATAAGTACCTACTTTGTATGGTCGCCATTTCAAAGAAAAGTATAAGTATAAGTACTGTATGAATAAATGTATTGTCAAAAAAAATAATTCCTTTTCTGTAACTAGCTTATTGGATTTTTATTAATCTATTAGCCTAACAGTGGTTGTTTTTATTATGATATTTTTAATTGTGTGTCAGCAACATTTTAAAATTTTCCACTACACGCTACGTCTGAAATATTTTATTCCAGCAAAAAGTATATGTAATATAGGCAAGGAAGTATATGTAAGATAACCGTCTTAATAGACATTTCTATCAAAATGAATTGCTTAGTCTTCTTCATAGTTTGGCGACAAACAATAAACATAAAACATTTTACAATGTAAAGTCAGAGTTACAAGCGATCACATGCAAACAAAAGTGAACATTGCGTTTAGAGATCAATATAGAATCCAGCCTCAAGAATGCTATGTGGTCTGCTATTCCCATCAGAATCAGACATTGTACAGAATAGCTTTCAGACAAAACTCCCACACAGCCATCTGGCTTTTGATTCACTTTTGTCTATTGAGTAAAAGCCATAGTGTTAACAAACAATCTGACCAAATACTTTTACAATAAAAAAATTAATACGGTATTGTAGACTTACAGATTGTAAATAAATCATCTAAGTTGATGATGATTTAAACTCTATATTACAGTATTGAAATTATAGAGTAATAAATCGTTAAAATTTGATTTGGTTTACCTTTGTGGCAACTTGCACATAAATATCTTCGCATCTTGTTGCCAGCTTAGGTGTTTACTAAGGGCCAATATAAGGAGTTTTTTTTTGTTTTCTTCATATTGATGTGATGGTGTCTGTATGGGTTCAATGTTAAATGTTACTTATTACAAATCAGATATAAGACAATATTTTCCTGAAGAATAGACAGCTGCCATCAAAATCATGTAGTAATTTAATGACAACTCTATGGGATGTTTTTGGAACGAAATTAATCTTTTATACTTACACAAACCAATATTTTACAAGAAAAATAATTGTTCTTTTAGTTGTCAGGTTTTTTTGAGTTTTATGTTTAAGAAATTAACTTTTTATGTGACAAAAATCATACATCCATCAAAGTTTGTTAGACTATATTTTTTAATTTTTTGAAATTTCTGTGAACTTGTTCAACTAAAGATTTTTAAGTTCTCATTTATATGAAAATTAGGTAGCTAGTTATACTGCTTGATGAGCTAGAAGGAATAAAAGAGCGACTTTACTGTTTACTTAAAAGGTTATGAAAATTTAATAAGTTTTAAATGAGTTGGAAGAGTGAAAGCAGGGAAGTATGCACAAGTGAGTTCTTTTAACCTGTATTTCATTCATGAGTATCGTAAAAATACTGATTCCCTGTAACATAATTATTTAACCTCAAACTGTTTTGTTAGTTTAAAATAACGCCAAGTTATTGATATTTAGAATACATTTTTCTAGCAGCTTATAAAAATTAAGGCTTACACTACACTACAGACCAGTTTTTTTTTATTTTGTGTGTTTCTATTCCCTAACTCGTATTTTTATGTTTTATACAGTTTTCACTTTTTGTAAGGGAATGGACCCAACCCAGTCTTGTTCTATTGTCCAATTTTTACAAAGCACGAATTATTAATAAGCCTTTGAATAATTCTACCCTTCCAAGGATCAAATCAGTAACCTTAAGATAATTACAGTATAATCCCACCTAAAAATAGTTTTTTCGCTTCTCTACTTTTAAATGTTAGCCTACATACAAACGACCGGTATATTAATTACAATTCTAAAAAAACTTAACAGTAATTCCGTTACTAAACATCAGCAACTTAACGATAAATCTCTTTCCTTTTGACATTTGCAGCAAATTAGCGATTGCCGTCAGAAATTGGCTAAAAGCAGAAACATTGCGAGGGTAGGCTAAGTCAATTATACAGATGTCAATAAGGCGCCGATATTGTAATTTGAATACCACTGAGCGACTGACTGCCTCCGCTCTGATCCACCAATCCTGTGATAGAGCCTACTCCGTGTTATTACATCATTCCTACCGCTTAATTCTATCTTTAAATTATCTCAGCAGATTTAAGCTCTTCACTTTGATTTTATATATGGAATTATTTTCCTTCGATGTGCTTTGAGGATACACTATACACATTTACCTTCAAGAATAAGATTAAAGAAACTCAATAAATCAATATAGGTTATCTGATTTTGTACTTATGATCTAAAATTTATTATATGATAGGATGTCTTTTACATTGCAATATTGCCTATGTAAGTAAGTCTATGAAGTACCACTACCACAGTACCACAGGCATTGCTGTCGTAAACAGTAAAATTTTTTTAATAATTTATTTTATCTATCGAAATTGCAGAATTCATTTTTGTGCTATTGCTATTATATATCCTATCCTATAGGCCTACTCTTATATGAGCAATGTATGCTTGCCCAAAGATCTTGAAAACGGCTTTGACGATTTCCTTCAAATTTTGTTCATAATTTATATCTGGCCTAAAAACGTGTTTACTGCAGTTGAAATTGCCAACAAAATTCTAATTACAATACGTAAAAAATGAAATTGAAAGTCAAAATTTTTAACATTGGCCTTATGGGTTGCTAAGTAACCATGTTGGTTGAGCAAAATAACAAGGAAAAAGTAAACAAATGACTTGTAATATGTGTTTATAACAAGCCATTCACAGTATACTAGCAAATTACAAAATACAGTACAAAGGAGGTAAAACATCAGTTGTTACTATTGAGCAAAGATTATTTTATTTTAAACTTTGATTGAAGTAAAAACTTAAATAAACACTATAATTAATTGATGTGTATACAGTTTGTAGGTCATTGAATCAAAACTACTTAAATCAACAATTTAGTCGATTAATTAAAGATTTCTTTGTCTCGAGAGACAAATCATTAAAATAGTTTTTAATTAGTTCCTGGTGATTTACTTTGACATTTAGTGAGGCTTAAGACTAACATTGAGCCACATGGATTTTCATATCCTATTTTCTTCTGTAAATATGAAGTCTTTCCCAAGCCATAAAACATGTAAGGGCTGTTGAAGTGAAAGGAGCGTTATCTTTGTAGCGCTTCAGTGACTGCAATATTAAAACTGGAGGGCCGTGAATACCTTTACCCGGCAGAAAGATGTGTTGGAAATGATGAAATGAGTTCTCGGTTTACGCCTTTGGATGTAACAGATTAAAATTTGAATGAATGTTTTGTTTTGTTAGACATGTTTTATTATGATGTATTTTACAGACAAGACAGTATTTAACCATAACACATCAAATCTTCTTCATTATAAGGTCACTAAATAAAAATCATTGACCAAGTAATTGTTGGTCAAATTAAATGATGTATAGCCACAAAAATAAAAAGTATTTTTATGACGACTAAACAAAGCGAGCGAGATATTTTAATAGATAAGTGGTTAAAATTATAATATTTTTACCATGGACAATCAGTATTACCAAACAAATTTTTCCTCACGAGTATGTTATCGGCTATTTTTGGAACGTCATTGGATGAGAAAAAATTGTATTTCACATTCTGAAAATCAGGAAGTTTTGGTCCAGTGGATCATATACATATTTTATAAAATCATGTTAGCTGTTTTAAAACTTAACATTATTATGTAGGTGCAAAAAGGTACCTAACTAAATTTAGGTTGGTAACTAAATTTCTCACTTTAAATTTCTCATATATAAGTGTCTAACTCGTCTAAACTTTATGTGCTTCCTGTAAAACAACACTAAATCGAGCTCTGTAAGTTTTTGGAATAATTTTATATGAATAATCAAATTCGTAAAGCCTTTTTTGAAACACCCCGCATATTTGGACGTTCATAAAAAAGTAGATATTTTTAACATCATGCAGGAAGTCTAAGCTATAATATCACATCAGAAACTTGAGTAACACATCAACACATGTGATAGACAAGAAGTCTGAGATATTAAGCAGTGAACAATATTACACGTTTCAGCAGTAGCCTATGTAAAATAAACTGTTTTGATGCACATAAACATTTTAATTCTGTTTATTTTTATTAAATATGTGTTTATTTTTTTGTTGCTTATTTATGGTTGTCTATGTCAAATTATTATTCAAGCTGACTTAATTGGCTTCAGTTGTATGTATTTGGTCATAAATCTACCATTGTGTTGTCATCATTGTAATGCATCTGAAATATGCTAGGCTAACTAA